TGTAGAATTACTTTCAAGTGACAGGAGAACCAGCAAGCCATATTCCTTATCGTCTGGCCCACTAAACATCGCCACTAGATCGTCCTTCATGGCAAACTGCACTGATTGTAACTACTGTGTTCCGTTAGTCTGCAAGGAGCAGTTGTTCGTAGAATCCACCAAATTTCACCCGTACAAATCTCCAGTTATAAAAAATAATAATAAATAATACTAATCTGAATGGAGAACCTGCACCGACTCCCAGTTAATATTGTGTGTTTCTGTGCTCTGTAAGAGCTTTCTAAGTACGCATGGATTAGTTCTCTGTGAGGTCTCTTCTTGGTCGGCTTTTTTCGAATTGGAGAGGTACGGTCATTTGCACTGTAATAGATTGCCAGGCCTTCGTGTTTGAAGTGGCTAATCGAGGCTTCGTTTTTTCTGAGACACGAGGAAGTTCAAGGAACTAAAAAAGAGTAAGATGAAAATTATAAATGAATGTCGAACACTCTGGATCACTCAATATGCTTCTGCAAGAATATAGCCTCTTGGAAAGTTCCGGTTTACTGGGACCAGGGAAGAAAAGGCTAAAATGGTCCCCTCTAACTGAACTGTTACTAAGGATGTGTAGCGTCTTCGTGAAATATCGCATGTCAATCCTTTGGCAGATTATTGTCTTAGTCAGCTTCCACTCGACCGTGGACATTGTTCTAAATCAGACCATACTGCTGCTGAGCAATCAGAGGACTATCACTTCTCAGTAAACAAGTTCTTGGACTTGGTGATGAGAGCAACAATAACTCATTATCACGGCAGCTTGAAAACGTGATCATAATATAGGTCGACATTTAGACCATTTCTGCGTACAATTCTGTCTTGACACCTTTCACTTTTCAAAGCACTACCGGAAAACCCTCCACTTTCTCCATGGAAGCGAGATCGCCCAAGTGGTTAAAGCACGAATTTACTGACCAGAAGGTCCTGGTTCGAACCTGAACTCTGCCTCTCGAGTTCCTCTGTCTAGGCATAGGCAACCTGGCAGTATCCTAGCCCTTGTGAAACCTTCGGGTGGTGTAGCAGTTAGGCACCGAAAGTGTGCTACAGCTAAACCATTTGCCTGAGTGAATGTCTGGAGGTATAGGCACCTCGGAATGATTGTTGTGAGATAGCACCAAGTCCCTTCCCCGTCCATCTTTACTCTTTTTCCTTACAATAAGGCTTTCAGATAAATCATGGTTGTACGGCAGTGAGACGTCGATGTTGAACACTGGTGTCATGCTGTCGATGATGATGATGATGAGCCCCATTTGTCCCTAGTTCATTTCGTCATGAACTGGTTTAGGCTTTCGTTACTCAGGGAGGGTGCAAAAAAGAATAATTGTACTATTTTCATTGTCATTCCTTCGAGTTTGCCAAAGTCTGAAATTGGCTCCTCGCTGTTTAGGTTTGTCCGACTTCAGCTGTTGTTGTCAAAGTGCAGACAGTAGTTGAAACAAAGCGCTTTTTCAGTTGCGCAAGCTTGGAAAAATCTTTCAGAATGATCTAGCCTAAAGTTTCAAAAGTTGACTGATCGCGGCGTACGCGCGAGCTTTTCTCTCAAATGGCGCATGCAACTGGTGCTTCATTAAGTTCAAGGCCCCAGACACCAAGTTATTTGGACAGCTGAATGTATTTCGGAAAACCAGAACAATCAACAGGTCCAATATTGGTTGTTGTTTCTCCTGATTTATCATTTAAAATGATGCCTGATAATTTCTTTTCCGTCCTAATGTTGTCTCACGTTTGCAGTGTAACTAACTTGTTCGATTCATATTACGTGATCCGTGAACCCGAGCACAGCTTCAGCTATTTCTTACAGCGAGCACCAACCGAATTAGCAAACAAACACTTGCTCCACGATGAATCGGTCCCAGTATAAACTGATTCGCGGTGAAATATTCCACAATGGACTGACCAGTGGCAAGTCAAATAAAAAGACGTGCGTGCGCGTCCGCATGTAGCCACGTTGATGAGTTTTATTGGAGGGACCGGAGCACCGCAACACACAGTTCCTTGGTTTGAAAGACTTTCAATCGCTTGCAGTTGTGCACGCTTTGGTTGTCACTTTTGTCAATCGAATTCATATGTGCACTACATTAGCTGGGTGATACATGCGGTGCAGGCTTGGTTACTGGCTAGAACTGGAAATTTCACCATAGAAAATAACTGTTAGAACAATAGTGGAAGATGAGGTCAAAGTTTATGACGAAATATGATACGGAGATTCTCCTAATGAAGCAGATAGGGGAATAGTAGGCTTTTATTATCACCCGGTGAATATTTACTCCGTGGTTTGTTTTGAGCATTGGAATATAACACAGAAGATAGGGTAAAGCCTCCAAGAGGGGATGAGTCAAACAGTTTGGCGATAGGGTTACCTGTGTGCCCGCAATATCGATAGATTTGTCAAAGCATTTTTCGTGGAACACTAAATTGTGTAAGTTTTTTGTTGAATTCGTCAGGAAAATACTACTTCTTGGCATCATTTTGGAGAATTTTAAAAAGGGTTCTTTGTTGACCTGCTTACAAAGTCTGCTCAATACTTTTGTACCCTAATAGGCATCGAAAAACTACGAATGAGGGTGCATTCCTGCTGGCATTGGCGCCGATTCAACTTGAGAGACTACACCGTTTTTTGTACTGGTTTTAGTCCTTTGGTAATCAGTCCAATAAAATGTTTAATGCGTCAGCGTCAATGCATATGACATAGAGGGTTCCTCTACCTGGGAGACAGAACTTGATCCATCTTGAACGCAGTTATTTTCCCCTGAAGGTCACTGAAATACCTTGTAAGTCTTGGTGTTGGATCTTTATAAATTTCGAGGAAAAATAAAGTGTGATATACGCAGTCTATTCAGTCTAGGCGAATTCACTAATACTTATAGGAATGCTCTAAATAAACCTTCCTTATACGTTTCTATTTTTTAAAATTGCGTGAGCGCACAGTATAAGGATAGAAATCATCAGTTACTTGCAACAAACCCATTTGGTGTTCAGATCTGAATTGTTCAATTGTTAGTCGGCAATCTATTCTAATCGGGTACTTAATTACAGTGCCTCCAGTGGAATCTGACACTAAAAACTGATCTACAAAAGTTATTTCGTTTGGTCCAAAAAGTACGTTTGCCACTTGATATTAAAAACTTGAAACAAAACTGCATCTGAATTTATTAGGGAGATTTGCCCTACACCAAGCTTCCACCCACCATGGAGTACGCATTCGAATTCCACTTGTACACTGGGTTTCTATGACAACATTCCTATCAATATTTTTCGGTTTGATTAGGGTCGGAATGCGTCTAAGTATAGAGTTTGTTATCCTGCACATGAGCGCGTGTTATCGACAGACGACTCAAATCAGTCCATATTCATTCTTCATATTGGAAGTCTAAAAATGAGTAAGCAGTTTCTGTTGCTATTTATGTCTTGTAATTCGGTCTTCAAGCATAATAGGAGCTCGGAAAACGTTTGAATAGAATAGAATATTTATCTCAAGCCATTCGACAAATGACTGCTTTACGGCAAATTGCTCCTGTTGATGAACAAGTGTATATTATTTTCCTGGAAACAGCACATTGTGAATCCTGTTCAACAGCCCACCACTGATTTTCACCCTTTCGGTGTTCGGTGGGCATCAAATGTGTTTCAAAGACTTATGTGGATTATCGCACCCAATGGTAAGCCACGATCGTGGTAACATGAGACGGCCTCCCGATATTCTGAATAGCACACTCAGTAAAACATAAACGATATGCGTGCAGTATTTTGGGTTTAGGAACATCACAAACCAGAGGATCAACTGTGTATCCCGTTAACATCCCTTTCATTTGCCGGTGAAAGTGTAACATCACTATTGGATAGCTTCTTTCTAAATGTTAGCGTTCCCTGTCTGTTTATTAGGGCTGTTAAAAAACGCAACTTCCTACTCTTTCCGGCAAACTAACAGGCAATATTTGAAACCGAATCTATCCCTATGTGGATCATGGGTCAGAAAACTATAGCCAAGTAGAATCAATTTCTGCTTAGTATCCCACACTTTCAGGAACCAACGGATGCAGCAGGGAAATGGTCGATTTCCGAATCACATCAAAACAGACCCGAGATAAAGTTAAAGCCACCACGTACTGTACATCGTGTACAAAGTTATTATTCTATTCCCGTCATTTACCAATTGGGTATAAACGATATTTCTTTTGCGTAACCCTGTGGTATACAAGACTTCCGTGTCCGACTCACATTCAGACCGGCGTCTAAGACTGGGCATTTTACACAGCCTTTTCCAGTTGGTCGGTTAATCAATTAGGAGTGATGGATATTTGAATTCATTTTCGTTGTTAAAGTAGGATGATGAATTTACAGCTGTTCATTAGAAAGCCGGTTGGTTTCGTCTTTCGTTGCACTGAGTTAAACGTGAACACATCAATCAACCACCTTGAGAAACTACACCAGAACTTGTCGAATCACTATTTAGCGGTCACGTGACAGAAGCGGCGATCGATTCCTAACTGTTATCAGGAATTATTTTGAATGTAACGCAGTAGCAAGCTGACGCTGTACTGTGCAATGATCGGAGATAAACTTCGTTCTACCCTTATTGTGTTTGCTGCATTCATGCTGATTGCTGTACTGGATGGCATCATGTGTGTTATCGGTGTTTATGTGTCCTACTGGATGCAAGAATGGAATGCAACCCGTTTCCAATTGGACTGGATAGGATCTATTCAAATGGGATTGGCATTTTGCCTGGGTAAAGTAATATTCTTACTTGATAATTCTCCTAGGCCCATTTGCTGGTAGATTCATCAACAGATTCGGTCTCATTTCGGTTGCCATCTTTGGTGGAGTACTGTGCACAATCAGCTTCATCGTCTGTGCCTTCACAGTTCACATAAGCATGTTGTATATATTCCATGGGATATTCAGTGGTAAAGTCGAGTTTGAACTTTCACTTTATCAGTTAAGGGTTGGGGATTGGTTTGGCCTATATGAGTGCTGTGGTATCGATCACCGTTAACTTTGAAGAGAAACGACCGATAGCGATGGGAGTCGTGACTTGTGGAACCGGTGTTGGTATGTTGTGAAAGGCTAGAGATCACATACGTTTTACTTTCCTAGGTTGTGCCTGCTTGAGCACATTGATGCCAATGGTTATCTCAAGGATGGGTTGGAAACACAGCATGTATATACTGGCGACAATCGCCTTCACAACTGTCATCTACAGTGTGCTATTAAGGTCGAAGGCAAGACAGGCGAGCATTCGACCGTCCCTCAATCTCCCAGTCATAATGCCACAAATGATGACCTTGGATTCCAATCTCGCTGAGGCGCCAAAAATGCCGTCCCAAATCATGAGTTCAACTTTTGCGTTCTACTCAACATGGGACGTAGAACAAGCTAAAAAACACATGTACCTTACAAGTTTCCTCGGAAATATCGGCTCATTTGTCTATTTGGAAGGACTTGATAACTTCTTAAAATCAAGATCAAAGGCAAACAAAGAACCGTTGCACCTTTTGAAGAATTTCCAATTTATCATTCTGTTCCTTGCATCTTTCTTTTTCGCGTTTACTTTCATGACACCAATAGTGTACTTGTTTGATCGATTACGACAAAACGGTATTTCGGATGCGAATATCTCACTCATCCTATCCGCATATGGAGTGTTCGGTGCGATTGCACGACTGTCAATGGGAATTATATCATCATTCAGCTGGTGTAAGAAGCACATCTTTCTGTTTTTCTGGATAATTATTTCGTCCGTTTCGAACATTGCTTCAAACTACATGACGACTACATGGGATTTTGCACTATTTTCTTGCACGCTGGCAACTGCTCAAGGTAAGTTATTACTAGTTGTCTGTAACATTGTGATTTTCGATCTCAGGTGCCTTCATTGTGCTCCAGCCATTGGTGTTAGCCGAAATCGTGCTCCCGGAAGACCTTACCGATGCACTCGGATTAATGCTACTTGCTTCTGGAGCAGGCTATCTGATGGGAACTCCTATGATGGCCTTGGTGTTTGACTGCTGGAAAAAATATGAAGCCTGTTATTTAACGTGTGGAGTGATTTTGGCCTTTACAGCATTACTTACCACGACAATAGTCATTGCATACATCAGACAAGTCCTCATGGAAAAGTATGAACGCCGACTAAAAATGAGGCTTGCAAATGAGATGTCCAACTGGATACGTCGGGAATCTAGTAGTTCGCAGGAATGACGGTTTATTTTATCATCGTCGTGGTCTGCCGAGTAGTATTGGACATAATTGGGTGAATATCCTCATGAGATGGAATGTCTCGTCCAACAACTAAGCAACCATTGTTGCTGCCATTGATACACATCTTTGGGGGATAAATCCTTGTAAGTCAAATTTTGTCAAATTTTCATCTGATTTGGTTTGATGAAAAAGCTGCTATTCACCAGAAATTAACCAACAGTAACTTGATAGTAATGTGTATGTTTTCTGCACATATCTTCGAATCGCATCGATGGGCTTCACTTCACTGAAATAGCGGACAGTGATTCCATTTAAAGGACAGCTGTAACAGACTAAGACTGTCCTTTTGTACACAAGACCCAATTGTTTCCTATAGCGGAGAACTGCCTTATAACGAAATTCGCCCAAACAACTGAAGAAAAGAAACTGGCTAAACCATCTACCCTGATCACAGATCACAGAGTTCAGAAATCAGCTCAACCTTTACAAATCTGACAGCCAAAATGACAAGCAAATAGCTAATTGTGCTGAGAAGTGAGTGGATAAATGGGCAAGTAAGCAAGCATTTGAGTAAGTAAGTAAATAAGTAAGCAAGTAGTTGAATATATAATAGTTGAGTAGGTGGGTATATAAGTAATTAAATAGGTAACCGCGCCAAGATAACCGCGGCCTACCTCTTGGCACCGATTTAATGGCTTGTTTCCAGAACTAGTGTTTCCTTGGATATTTATCCTGAGGTATTCATTCCGGTGCAACCTGCTTAGGATGAGTGATAGTAGCGCTCGGCGTGGTCATTGTGGTCGGGCGATATTCCGTCGAGGAAACTGTGACCAACCAGTGCATACTCTGCGTTTCTTCTGAATCAAGCGTGATGCCAGAAGTCTCCATCATCTTCATCTCTCTCTGCTTACTTTCAGACGCCACAATGCAGCTTTCAATAGATACTGACAGTAACCATCTCTCAGTTTATGGGCAGGTGTCTAAACTGTAGGAATCTCAGAATACTTGTTGTAACCATACAAAAGGTGCCTAGTTTTTTGCTATTCATACAGCAGGGTTATAAAAATAAGTTTTGCATAGTTATATTGAGTACACCATCCTTATGGATATTGTTCGTGTTCCATATAATGTGAAGATCATAATGAGATAGTGGGGTGGTAATAACAAAGATACTGGCGAGAATGATGACAAAACCGGTAATGACAGGAGTTCAGGATCCGAATCAGGATCCAGAAGGTTAAGGGGAGCAACGAGAGCACGATGCTATTGTTGAGGATGACAAACCCAAAAATGATCGTAACTTTCCATTCCTCTGAGGAATGAAGACGTTAGCGTTTGAACGAGTAATTATTTTAATGTGGTTTTCCAAGCAGTGCACATTTTTAAGTAATCCAACTGCTTATACAATAGGTCTTTGAAAGCTTGCATCTTTCTGTTACTATAGTTAGCCCTTCAGAAACCCACTCCTAATTTTTCACATTTTTGTTTCAGCTAGGAGTAATAGATGTGGAACCAACTGAGAGTCGAAATCTGGAGATCAAGACGGAATTCCAGCGTGGTATTCAGCCTGTCTCGATTTATGCTAGCACGAGGTTCACCATTTCTGTGGTTCAAGTCACATTTTAAACTTTATGGCTCATACAACTTGACATATGACTTTCTTGGGTGTGATGTGCCTTTGAAGTCTGCCCTGTCCATTTTGTATGTTCACTTCTTCACTTCTTTTTGTTATCCTCATTGTTGTGATGGTGTTTGTTTACTTTCTCCATCCTCTGTTCTAGGTGTATCCATATCATCTGATGTTCACCTTATTATATCATTTCCAATGCACAGACCGTCATTTCGATTGTCCACTACCGTATTTTACAGCTTCCATAACTGGTTTCGTTTGTTGTTACTGGTCAGTAGTCCGTATTTGTACTCTAAGTGACTCAATATTTTATGACCACATCTACTGTCTATGCCAATCCACATTTTATCACGCTTTTCAGTTCCGTGAGGTCTTGGGCTTTTCGGCCCAGTAACTAGTAAATTAGCTGAATTAGTAAGTTTATTGACGCTGCGTGATCGTGATTGCAGCACATAAACTAATGGAAAAATGGAAGTAAAGTGATGGGAGAAAGTAAAGCTCTGAACGTCGTTTGCCCACTAACGTTTCTAAGCCGCATGCGATTCAGTCATGGAGTCAGGGTGCACCCGGGGAATTAGTAGGTCTCACGGGTTCCGAGCTATTTTGGGATAGTAACGGCAAGATGATCACTTTGTCTCCGCACTCAACAAATCCAAATCCAACTACTGATGCCCTGAGAACCATGGACAACCGGAGCGTATTTCTGTCATAAAGCAAAGCGTCAAACGTGTGTAGAAGCCAACTTTAGAACTACGTAATTGAAACACCAGGAATATCTTATAAAACCTTTATCCTACATCATCCTAGAGTGTTCTTACAATTATCACTCCATCCTACGGACTTTACTCTTCTTACGTTGGTTGCTCCGAGCAACATTTTTCCGTGTTCGGTGTACGTTTACTTGTGAAAAGTGGTTCTATACTATTCAGTATAATTGGAGATCCATGAGTGAAACTGTGGTTTTATCGTGGGATATGAGTTCAATACCTTTATGATTTATGGTTTGTGATATGGGTCAGTCAAGTAGCACACTGGAAATTACCGATCAGTCTGAGTCAAATTAAAAAGAGCTAACTTCTGTCACGGAATAGTGCAGTGACAGTGGGGATAGTCAAATCTTCCGATTTAGGATGTCAGCTGGTATAAATAAGCCCATAAAAAAGTCACCATCATCACAATGTTTGTCGCCGGAAGCAAATCAGCCAGTTTGGTGACCAGAAAATGATTCCGGATGCGTTCAAGTGAGTGAGAGTATCACTCGGGGGAAGAATTTCCGTGGACAAACACTTCTACGTATTCGGTGCTTCAAGATGAAAACATCGTACCAAGTTCTTGTGGTTTAAACTTATTAAGTGCTGATAGCATTTGAAGAATATCGCTCAACCAGCCCTTGAAGGCCTTGAGTGCTGGTGAAATCTTGAAATCAGCAACGGCCTTTATTTGTTCAGTCATCATCACTGCTTAGATTTATTTTTCTAGGTTTGGTTTTGGCACTACTTTGGCACTACTACTTTATTTTACAGAGACCGTGCTATGGTGGCCAGAACCGATGTTCTGTGGTAATCAAGAGGTATTTGTCACGTTCAAGATTTTACCTTGCTTCCCCTATTCCAACTGATTTGTCCCTTTCAGGGTGCTTGCCAAAGCTATTGCATTTTTATCCTTGGCTAGTTACAAAACATTTTCAACGCACTTATTGAACCCCTCAATCAAACAAACGGCGAACATTATCAGAGATACAGGGGAAATAATTGTGCGCGCTGATCATAGCAATGGATAGCAATTGGTGGCTTCAAGAGGGACCGATGTCGTCTGGCATGAAGTCCGTCAGTCATTTGGACATGTCTCATATCCTTTGATAATAAAAACTACTTTGGGGGGATCAGAAGATTAAAAACTGCAAAAATTGTTCATAAGCTATGTATATATTATGAGTCTTTCAAGTGACCCGTCAGTGGTTGTCAGGCCAGTACACAGAATCAAGCACACAGTCTCTGAAAAAACTAACAATCGTCCAACGGACAGTTGGAGCCCAACTTCACTGCGTCCGTTTCCTCATAGAATGCAATTTTTCGGATTCACCAGCCTATTTCTGATTTTAGTTAACAGAACTGTGTAGATACTTCGGAGACATTCCTGTTCCGGGCGGAGAATAGAAGCGATATACAGCCACCTTTCAACCAAGGTGACTGATGGGTTATCTACCTAATTCCGTTGTTTACGTTACATGGCTTTTCTACCCCCGTCCGTGGTTTTGTCAGTTAGACACCAACTCACTAAATTCACAACGGATCACGAGCTAGCAACCACATGTTCATCACGTGACCAGTTTTATAGGGCACGTGTCTTCCATCGTAGTGTGAGAATCCAAACATGGTCCCTTTTGGGAGCCTACTGATATTACTGAAATTACTCAAATTATTATGAAAACAATAAGCAGTTCAGAGGAAGAATAAATTCACTGAATGTGTGAAGATACCTTCTGAGAAGCCGTCATTCGAGAAACTGGTCAATGCATGACCGTGTGATGTGGTTTCCGTTATTGAATTATGACTGGCCCTATGTCCCGTCCAAGTGAGAGTTGATCACACTGGCCAAACGGTTAAGTGATCAGACACTGGCTGGACGGTCGCGGGTTCGAGAAACTGAATCTCGTGAGATGCGCACTGCTGGTGATTCCCAACAAGGATGAAACTGCTGTACAGTGGTTCTCGGCTTTCCAGAATAGATTGGCTTCACCGACAGGATGAGAGCTTTATTGAAGTTTACTGACACTTAGGTATGTGAAAGTCGATAGTAGATATTTCAGCTTTTGAACACGAACATGATTTCCGATGGGCGCCTGTAAGGGAAATATCAACTGGAGCAATCTTTCGAGGAATACAACCTATAAACAAGTAATACGAGCACTACACGTTATTTTAACTCGCATATGGAATTTTTAGGACAAAACCTAATTCATCTGCCACTATGGCAGCCAACCCTGGAGAGCCTACCGATGCAACTGGCTGTGGTATGCACATCACTTCTATTGCTTCGCCCAGCAACCTGGGTTCCCGATTTCATATACCCTGTCAAATTAACTCATTCTGGACTGTGATGGAGTTATGTGATAGATATCCGCAATAAAATCGACCGGACGATCAACGTGCTCAACAAAACGTCATTTTCTGACCAGATTTGGTGTTTCTAAATTGATCTGCCCACGGCAAAGTCATGCCATTAATTAGGAGACCAAATAGCACGGCTTCAGATGTTACTGAGGGTGCACTGAGAGGTCGAAAACAACTCGGGGAGAATACATTGTACATTCGTCCCCACAGTGACGAGGGCGCTCCCAAATTCTTTTAGCTGCGAGATGTAAAAGCTTTCGGAAAATCGCTCAGGCAGTGTTACTAGCCAAAGGTTTGGGGCAGCTAAATCGGCTGTAGGATTACGGGGGAAAACAATAGACCCTTCTTCATTCACGGGGTGTGGAATGATAACCTCGGAAAATCGGCATCTAAATGAAACTGGTATCTGTGGCAATCTCGCTCAAAATTTCCAACCGAAGGCTGGCTGCCGCAACTACCACACTTCGTTTCACAGATTCATTTTGCTTGCTATCTCCACTGACTGCTGAATTATTTAGACCGCATACCCACTGTCCGTTGATAACCGGGCCCCCGGTGCCATAGAGCTACCACTGGTTACATTGAGAGGATAAGAGACGATAAACACTGTCAGAAATTCAATAAACCTAACAATTCAGGGTGAATGTAGTTCCACAGGCCCTTGATTATCAAGATGCTCACAAGCCTGGTTAGTATCCTCGAACACTATTTCAAGCAGCCGGAAGTAACTCTGGACCATTTTTGCCTAGCGGTTGATGATGAATAGTCATCCATCCCCTCGTGCACCGTTCTCCCACCTCACCGATCAAGAGCCACCACCTATCCAGGGTAGATGGTTTCTTCCACATGAATGTGAGTGCGTATATATTCACCAGCAATAACACAGCCAATACATTTGAACCACTACCGTTAGCCTGCTTATTATGCCAGAGGACTACGAAGTGCCATCAGAATCAGTCTGGACGAGTTGTAATTTTCAGCCGGAAAGATTTAGACCGAAGTGTATTCCTCGAGCATGCTAGCCATGTGCTGAACTGCACGCAGGTTAGTCAGCAGTTAGCTTCTCCAGGACTGTCCATTTGTAATGGCGTTGTCCAACGCACAGTATCCAATGTGGAGGCATGGCACGTGGAGCACCGTCAACAAAAGTTGAACTAGAAAGACTCAAGTTTATATAGCAACCTAACCTAGTCGATCTGTTTGTTTGCAGCTCAACCAAGTGCCGCATACCCTGCCATTCGGTAGAAAGTGTTGACTATTACCATCTGAGAACTTTTATTTGACGCCAGGATATGCTAAATATCAGAATGGAGGCCGTCCTTTACAATGTATTCGAAAACACTGACAAGTATCATATGGATATTACACGGATAGCCTCATTCACCATCCAATCGAATACAGCAGTTCAGGTTACAGAAAGGTAGGAAATTTCAAGCTATCTAAAAATGCATGTTCACATCTGCTGCAAAGGAACCCTTGTCAAGAATGTGGCTTGTACTACTAAAATGATGGATAGGTATTGTCATCTGCGTCTTCCCTTCGTCAATGAGGACTGATCCTGTTAATTAGCAAATGGATTTCAAAACAGCTCTCTCATCTCTACAAGTTGTCTTCTGCCACAGATTGCAGTCTCAAAGATAAAAACAAGTTGTTGAGTTAGTAAATGTCACGTGATGTTATGTGCAAACTCACTGTCGTAAGAAATGTCGATCCAAAAAACGCTTTACCCACATCACTTCCGGGGTATGTTGTGTTGCTCACATTGCTGTCGAGTTTTCGTCGGTTTTCACATTCGCTCTGAGAACGATACCACTAGGTTGCTCGAATTGGCAGCGGTCACAAGGGGGAAGTAGTGCAAAACTATTCCATATCGACCATGTGGACTTTTATTGGCTCGCGATTTCACACTGCGACAGATAGTGAATCCATGAAGTATACGGAAATGTGCAGAGCTAAGAAGTCAAAAGAAGGGGTCATATAGCATTTAAACCCAAGAGATTCAGATTTGCTCGAATTGGCAGCGGTCACAAGGGGGAAGTAGTGCAAAACTATTCCATATCGACAATGTGGACTTTTATTAGCTCGCGCTGTCACACTGCGACAGATAATGAATTCATGAAGTATACGGAAATGTGCAGAGCTAAGAAGTCAAAAGAAGGGGTCATATAGCATTTAAACCCAAGAGATTCAGATTATTTGGGATGGCAGACGAGTCAACTGTACAGGAATCTCAGATGACCAACGACAGCGTCCGATTCAAGGTAAATTGATATCCAGTCTGTTTGTTTTAGACTATGTCCACATTGGTTTTTCTGCTCCAGCTACCCATCGTGATGTTAGCTCAATTCCTGAGGTGTGCAAATTGTTCTCAGCGCTTCAGCAGTTCAGGTTCTTGGGCTCCTTTTTGCTCCAGTATCCCGTCAAGTCTATCCTTCACTCTAGGACAAGAACAGTGTGACAGATACCACGAGAAAACGGGCACACACCTACGTGATTATGACTCACTTGCAGGCATTGTCTGTGCAAAATCTAGCGTTAACTTAAAGCTCTCACATATCCGTAAAAGATACAGGATAAACCAAAAATTTGACTAGAATTCGGCGGCATGTGGTCAGATGTCCGCTTTGGGATAGGTTCCTCATAGATGTGCAACATATGTATCGATAGTACGTTCGTTGTTCCGGTGCTAAAAACGACCAAAATTACAAGATTCTTGTCACGCTACTGTAAAAATTGATATTCGTGAGAACCTCTATAGCATACAGATCGTAAGTTCCGACAACACACTTTATACGAGAGTCAGACAGTACTAATGTGGACGCTCTCATGCTGATGTAAATCAGAGAATAGGTGATCATCTCTCTTACCGGTTCACCATTAGTCCCAACGGTTCAGCCAAAAGCTAAATTGCTTCTGACTTAATTGACACCGGGCACATAGTTAATCCGAATGAATTGTTTCACGTCATCTGCCATGTACTTAATAGACTGAGTTTAGATCCAACGGCTTTCCTTAACTGCAGCCGAGGCAGTCGCTATACTTCTACAGAATTCGGTACTGTACTGTCAAAATCGCTGAATCTGTCTTGATCATGTGACAAGAATCAAACGACCAAGTCACACAGTCACCAATTAGATGCAACGCGATGCGCAGACAGTCACCAATTAGATGCAACGCGAATGCGCAGACAACCAATCGTTCGTGTCCCCACGTTTTTCATTTCACTAGCCAATCTCGGCTCTGTATTTAACTTTTTCGCCCCTATTTTAACCATTAACTATGTACCGACCCGATGAAAAGATCCCGAAAACATTAATGTTCGTAACTGTGTTCTTCATCAAACCACAGGGATATTTAAGCAAATTAGTAATGGTTCCAATGACGACCAAAGTATGCAACATGGAGAGTAAGTTGCCCCCTGTCAGTTCTAACGGTACTGATCGAGTTTTCCAGTTGCCAAGGGGAATCCTCCCTTCGATGTCCCTTCAACCTAAGTTTTTCCAAAAAACTAATTTAGACTCCATTGGAATAAAAAAATAGTGTTTGTTTCTTGGCCACTGCTTTCAATGGGAACTCCGGATTCAAAAGCCCCATACAAGTTCTTGGGAGTACAGCTCACTAATGACAGAGGAAAGTGTCGGAGTTCATTGGTCCGATCGGTTACATGGATCGCAACTACTTTAGCAAAAAATATAAGAACAATCACACCATACTCCATTGCCCACAAGTTTTTCTGTCGTCTAATTCCAAACCGAAAGTTACGGATACGGTTTTGAACAGCACGTAGCTAGAAGAGGGCACCGCCAGGAACCCTAACGTGTTTCAGAGTGAAAATTAACGGAAGTGAAATTCACTGGCTAGCCGGTTGTTTTTTCTCATCATTGTGTCCAAGACTTTAATTCCAAACCTTTTAAATAAAAGGACTATGAAGCAGCCAACTGATCAATACCCAAGTGTAATTTTCGTGGGTGGGGTGGCCAACAGTCCGACCAGCTATTTTGCTCCCACCCGACCTGATGACGGATCTGAGGCCAGGATTCAGGACCGTTGAACACTCCATTCCAGGCAGCCAGTTGCCGCTTGCTAATGTGCGACCCACGTTTTCAAAGCACCGTCACCAGTACTTAAGGCATAAACTCGTCGCATTGGAAGCCAGAGAAACCCACGGACTAGTTCATGGGTAGCCACGAGATCATTCCCCATAGAAATAAAGCACGGATGGTGCCATTATATATATATATATATATATATATATATATAT